TTGCCGTTGGCAATTTAATTGTGATATTACATACTACTTGGTTCGGAGCTACGGAGATGCACGCGATTTGCGGCCACGTGGTGTTATATGAACCGAAAATTGTAAGATTCACACTAATATTATATGAAAGCACCAAGATTCGCTTTGTACCGTGTTGGCGTTTTAAGATCTCATTTGTTAGTTAACTTTTCACGGTCTTTCCTGATACTCATTTATTTTATTTCATATTTACTGAAGGAAGGAGTTTTTACTTACTGGAACATAACTCGGGCCATCAACCTGACTGACGCAGCTGAGATTTTCAGCGCCAATCGCTCCACGGACGATGTAAGCCACGGAGAGGAGATTGTAGCAAAGCGCTAGAAAGACTATTGGCCTCTCAGGATAACGAAATCTGGATGGTTCGACCCAGAAGGTCAACAGAGTGAAAAGCGTCGACAGGAAGCACAACCATGCCCAGCCGGTCATCCAACGCTCGGCGAATTTTTTGTCCTCCGCGCGATAATATGCGTCGGTACCACAACGTGGTGCGCAAGAAATCTGAAGCACAATCACGAAAAATGTTGAAAAAGAAACTGTATATAATTTTAGCTTTCTCCTACTCGTTCGCTTATTCTAACCATTTCCATATCGGGTATTTGCACAAAATGTGGTGGACATTGATGATGCTGTTGCTGCTGTTGAATTCGTGTAGGGATTTGCGGTGATCGTTCGTGCATTACCGGCCACTGCTGTTGAATGGTTGGCAGTATCGGTGAACTAGTGTCGTTCAACGTTTCGTTCGGCGGCTGCACGCACAACGTATTTCCTGCAATAGTAAAGAGAGTTAGGGTTATTTCAACATATAATTTAATTACCATACATTATATGTTTTTAACATTTATATGATTTAAACTATTAAGATTCCCAATTGCCATCAATTTTGAAGAAGTATTTTATATATGAATAATTTTAAATGCGGACATATTATTTTAAACTTTCTTTCTAAATTTTGTCATTCAAAGTTAGCAAATTTGTACAATTCTAATTTTGGTAAATTTCTCACACAATGTCAAAAATATATATTTCAATATCTCTGCTACAAATTTTGTAAGGAAAAAAAAAACTACGATTTGCATTTGCTATATGCGATTGTCGAATGGCAAAAATATGATAAAATTTGCTAACAAAATACAACAATAGATAAACATTCAAAATCAACTTCGCTCGTATAGTTTGACGCAACTCGAATATGTCAAAAACAGATTTTGTAAGGTGTTTGTTACGAATTTTATCGGCAGAATTTTATCAGCAAAAATAGAATCTGATTATGATGAAAAATCGAATGTTAATTGAAACAGAGCAGAATCTACCGTTTTGTTATGGCCATTTAAGGCTGCTTATTAAATGATACATTTCATTTAATATAGTTACAAAACGATGGTTTAGTAACTCCAGTTTTATTCTGTTTTTGCTGTCAGACTGTCGGTTTCAGAGCCTTTCGTGTGTTGCGTACCTTTACTTCGTTTTTCTCACAAAAGATGAAAAATTATAAGATAATAAAGAAATGATCAACGCCTAATTGTAAGATATTTTATTTAATTTCGTTAATATTATTCGAAAGAGAAGAGTCGTTTATATCTCTTTTGATTTTTTTTGTACCTCAAATCAAAAAATTCGAAACTAAAGCGTATTTCATTTTTTGGAAATACTTCAAGAAAATAATTTGGCTATTTTTGAGAATATCGCAAAACAATCATTGGCATTCAAAAGAAAATCATTTTTGTATCTGTTTGTATATACTTTTTTTTAGTTTCGTTCCTCAAAATAGTACGTCGGAACTATAACGGAATTACACATTTCAATTTTCAATGTAGCGATTGCACCGTCGCTACTCCGGCTGCAATAAGCGAAAAATATTTCACGTCGAAAAAATTTGCGAAAAATACGTATAACACTAGCGTCCAAGGACCTCTTCTGCTTCGATGAGAGAAAAAACGAGAACAAGACACAAACACACGAAACAGATCAGTTGGCGCAAATAACGAAAAAGCATAACAACTCTCGATGCTTTCTAAATATTGTGTATGTATATCTTTTCTCGTTGAGCATATCATTACTGCATCGAAGGTAATACCATGTACGTCGGATGATGATAGATGATAAATTTTGAATAATCATGACTGCACGCGCAGAAAAACGAAACGTTGCTTAAATTTAAACCTTAAATTTATAAAGCTTTCTCTCGTAAATAATCAAAGGACAAAACAGACTCAGAAAGAGAAGTTATGCAACCGATCACGAGATGGAATGAAATTGGGGATTCGGTAGATACCATCAACTCCGATGTGGATGATATTTTCGTGTAAAATAACTTTAAATTGTAATCGAACTCAAAAGACGACCAAAATTAATTCCCTTCGCTATCGCAATCAGCTAATATTCTTAAATCTAAACAAACATTCTAAAACCAAATCAAAAAGGCGTCAAAATTATAATTTATTATTTTGTAAAATGTTAAATTGTTTAATCTTAATGTCCTTTCTTTACACATTTTTATTATATATTAAATGTTACTATGATATTTTTATAAAATATATCGTAATTCAAGTTAATAGTTTTGATATATGATGCATGCAATTACAATAACATTTAACAGGGCTAAAAAGATTCATTAATAGCACACAGAATGACTATATATATTCTTTAATTATTATATTTTACGCAAAATAAATTTGTAAAATATAAAATATTGTAAATAGTGTAAAATATTGCCATAACATGCTTTTGGTATAATAATAATCTTCAGAGGTCAGTAAGTCTTTTTAAAATGACCAAAAAATTAAAAAAAATTTTTATATTTTTTGAAAAGTTTAAGAATGTGTGAAAAATATATCCTTTTAAAAATTCTAAATATTCAGAAGGTTATGAGAAGGTTATCTTTTTCAAGACTGCGCGTTTATATGTATAAAAAATCAGACAGAAAGCTACAAGACGGAGAAACTAAAAGATAGGAAATAAACTTGTAACATATGTAATCACAATTATTGTCTAGTTTAGACCTTCAAGTTACAGAAATTATTTAATTTATTTATAAAAATGTGTCAAATCGTAATTAATTTACTAAAAAAATGTTTGGAAGTTTTACAATAAATCAGAACGAAAGTTTCAATGCTATTTAGTTTTTAAGCATAACATATATACATATATAATAGTGATCAGAAAATTGTCGAATTACAATTTTATAATTACGGAAATTTTCAATGAAAAATAAAATTAGAATTATATTGCAGTACTTAAAATATTGATGTTAATGGAAATAAAAAATCAGCCTATAAACCGAATGTCAGAAACATCGAAAAAGACGGAAATGGCTCACAGAGAAGAACAAAAATGGCACTTCATGAGTTCTACGAAGAAACAAAAGACTTATTAGATAATCTTATTATTAGAGTGATAAATTAAGCATTAAAGCATTGATATAAATATAAATATAATCTATTGCTAAATGTATGAAAAACATTATAAAACTAGTAATTTTTTTCTAAAAAACAATATTTTTAATATTGCGGGAAAATTTTCCGAGAAAACCGTCACTTGAGAAATTTACTTCAAATTTTACATACACAATATTTTATTATTCATATATTTATTTAATTTTGGTATTATAATGATTAATGTAGCACACGTTGGACGGAAAGCGTGCTTCTCATTGGTCTCTCTAGTTGGTAGTTCAATGTCCACTTTCTAGAGGCGCTGAAACCAGCTAAACCGCTATCGCAGCTAAATCGCGGGCATGACCGCTCTCAGGATCCTCTCTGGCCAGACTCTTAGCTAGGGACTCTACTACCGCCTAGCTTTATCTCGAAGTTTTGCCTTGTCAGATTTCCGATTCAATATCTCGGAAACGAAAGTTCTAATAATTAGAAATCTAATGACATTTTCGTTATATAATGTCGATACGAGCTTTCGATTGAGATCAGTCCGAATGAAATCGGTGCAGTCAATCCCGAGATCTCGAAATCGAGTCTACGAAAATGCTACTTTGGCGATTCCAGTTTTCGTCATATTCTTCTTCTTATTATTCTTATTCAGACAGTCCGCCAAGGCGCATTCACAACGCAAGCGGTTGTCGCGTCAAGATGCGTTCTTATGTGAAGTTCTTATGTGAGGTTACGCGCATAGTTCGAAAACATAACGTGTCTTTATGTGTCATTATTGCAATATACAGGGTGGACCATTTTAATCCATCCAGTCGAATATCTCGAAAATCAAGCCCGGGAGAGAAAAATGTTTCAGACAAAAGTTTTCGGATTTCGAGGGGGACATAAGACATTGGTTTGACCCTAAGTGGCGTCGTCAAGGTCAGGACAAGG